TGACTACCTCTTGAAGCTCATGGAGAGAATGCCAAGAGTGTGCAAAGCAGTAATCAGAGCAAAGGGTGGCTATTTTGAAGAAACTAGAATATAAAACATGTTTTCAGTTATTTCACCTTTTTTTGTTAAGTACATAACTCCACATGTGTTCATTCATAGTTTTGATGCCTTCAGTGAGAATCTACAATGTAAATAGTCATGAAAATAAAGAAAACGCATTGAATGAGAAGGTGTGTCCAAACTTTTGGCCTGTACTGTATATATATTTTTTTTTTTTTTCTTTCCATTTTTCATTTATTATTATACAGGAAAATGCTAAAAGTAACATTAAATGTTACATTTAAACTTAAGATGCAATCTGTATCTGAATAACAAAAAATATTGATGCAGGCGCAAGTGCACCCAGAATGCAATGCTGTCAAAATGCTATCAGAACGTCCTGACCACATCTGCAGGGGTCTTGCTCACATTTGCCACATTACTAGGAAAAACAAAACTGTTGAAAATTGAAAGGCTTTTGTTGTCTTGACTTAATGTCAAAAAGCTACAGACAACCTCTCAGTAAATGAAACATAAGAAGGATCCATACAGAAGCTGATCACCTTTTTAAAGCCTGGATATACTGAAATGGCTATGGACACAGATAGCAGGCAGCCCCTGGCTGACATAGGCAGATGATGAGATTTGCGTCACAAGAACCCTCATGGTTATACAAATGTATATATTTAGGTTTAAATAGCCAGCTATACTGTCTGTGTAAGCTGGACAGGCTATGTGACTTAAGTGTTATTAAATGCCCATGTCCGCGAGACTCTTGAACTTGGATGTCCTTGTGAAGCCCAGAACAAAGGTTTGCAGATATTCAATGCTATCTGCCATCTTGTTACCACTGTTTACTTCCATTTTGAATTATGCAATGTCCTCTATTGATAACACATCCTTGATTACAGTGGTTCTGCTCAAAACTGGTGGAAACACTGTCTGGTCTGCTAGATAGCACCATGATTTTAGGAATCCTGAACAACACCAGTTCAAGAACCCAAACTAATTTGATAGAAAAGCGGTATGAAAAGTAGCCTATTGATGGCCTCAGCTGCCTTAAGTCACATTTCCAATGCATGGTAGAGCATGGCTCAACTCAATTCAACTCGCTCTTTTGGTTTTCTGTCGGCAAAAGTTATGGACAGTGCGGTGTACCTGGTACGTTTTTTGGTACCACCTTGATCAAGGTTCCTTGCGAGCTGAGCTGATACTAGAAGGTGGAGTTAAACCACCCTCCACTGATTGGTCAGAGGGAATGGTTTCTAGACTTGTGACACTGACAGTTGTGTGACACGCGTCATCCTGCACAACTTTTTTTAAGCCAAACTGCTGTCAGTAATGACCCCATTTTTTAAAATTCACTCAACCCATAATTTAAAAAAAATTGGCAGCCAGCAAAACTACACCACATACTACGTCTTACCACTGACGAAGTTAAGATATCTTCGCTAATGATAGGATCCAGCCAGTGTCTCTTTGAAGATCATGTCATGGCAGTTTCATGCGGTGTTGCTATGTTGATCAGCTGAGACCCCCGCCTACACTGAGGAGATACTGTGCAGGGTGGATAATGAAACCGAAAAGCACTGGTACCAAAGGTGAGTTGAGCTGAGTTGAGTGGCACTGAACCATGCAGTGGAAATTGGCCTATGACATGGACCTCACCTTGTACACCTGAGCAGTCCTTTTTCGAGAGTATACCACATTACTTCCCTGATGCAGCATGTTTGACAAATCTGCCTACCAAATTCACAAATTAAGATCCAATTACGATACGGGCAGATAAAAGGAACAATTTATATACCAGGTGCAAAAGCAGAACCCTGTGATACAGGTAATGTATCCAGATACAGATTGCATCTTAATACCACGTGGGAATAGGGTCTTGAACTAACATAAAACCCACTCAAGGTTTGTAGGCTTTTTTTTTTAACATGTCAGTATATATTGAGCCAAGTTGGTGCTTCCTATGCTTCAGATTCTTGTATTTTTTTTACAGGAATCAAGCTTCATATTGTGGTTTGTTAGCTGTCTTAAGTCATCCCGCTGCTCAGCAACAGCATATAGAACTTTATAGACCTTATTCATGGCAGGCATTTTGACATGTGATAAGATGAAATGCACAGGTGTATTTTTAACAGTGGTTGCATTCCTCTCAAGGGAGGTCCTGGTATTGTACATGTTGGCTCACTGGAATAGCTTACTGGGACACTTAACAGAACTAAGCCAGTGATGTTTTTATTTTATCTGTGCTTTTCTTACTCCTATGACAAGTCAGAATGTTTGCTGTGAAAAAAGGTCTATTAGTAGCTTGATCATGCTCACGTGTCTTGCACCTGCAGTTGTCAACCATGAATCATAAAATCTGTTTGTTGAATCCAAGGTTCAGGTTTGTGACTATGCAATGGTAGAATCTATTCATGTCCAAATTGTTGTCATTCCAGTTTGTTTGTGTTCTGGGTCAAAGATGAGAGAGAGGAGTGCACTGCAGTGGAAAGGTGTGATGTGTTAAGAGTCACAGAGGGCTGAGTGAAAGGATGCAGAGAGGAGGCATGTTCGGTTCATTACGCTTGATTCTACTGATTGCTGCTACAAGCTCAGACAGCTAAACAGGCTGCAGGTGTATTGTGTTGTGCATGTGACAGAGGGTGTGTGTTTCTGAGTTAACCGGTTAACAATGAACTTAACAGCTGTTGTGAATGCATGGATCACACCTGACTTAGAAACAGGCTTTTCCTGCTCTGGGGTGGAGTAGATGAATCCACATGGTGCTATTGATGCACACAAGCTAGCACTGGAAGTTACAGGACATGCAGATACAGGACTCCAGAGCTGTTTTAACTTAACAGTGAGAGAGCCCTCTTCTTTCAGGCCATGTACAGTCAGTCTGTGACTGGTATATGACAAAATTCACCACCCAAGCATAGGAGGCAATAAAGAGTTTGCCATCATGGTTCAGGCTGCAGGGCCTCTGTGTTATTGTTTAGTTAACTTTATAAGTACGGGCACAATGCTTGCTAGCAGCAGTCCGAGGACAAGTGATAGTTTAGCAGATCAGATGATGTCCCTTACGGTAAACTGTGCCACAAAAGGGGTGCTTGAGACGGTCAGTTTCATGGCACTGTTTAGACCTGCGGGCATGTGTGACACAGACAGCACAGGAGCAGCACAGGAACAGCACAGCAGTGCGACCCTAAAAGACACCAAAACGCAGTATAGTTTAATTACATGATCATTTTTGGTACATTTACCTGCCTGTGTGGTGGATAGCCTCCTGAGATTTTCTCAACAAAAGGAAAATCTACCCGCATTTGGAGCTTGTCAGGTGTTAATTTCGGGACCTGGATGCGCTCCTTTTCGAAAATCTTGGTTTTACACAATTGGAGAGCTATACTTGTTTTGCAAATGTCTTCTAAGCATTTTTAGCCAAATTGAGATGAGCACAGATGTCATGTAACTCACTGGCTGCAGTTCAAGTTACTTGAAACTGACATTTTTAACAGCAAGAACAGTAACTTTGCTGTGTGGTGTGACACAAAGTGTAATTAGTTCAGAAGTCTTCAGGATTACGCAGGTTGTTTTTGTGATTGTTGCAGCCTGAAATGCCTGATTTAACAGCAGGTTTACAAAAACATTTGCGATGCATCTTTTAACATTTTTAGATTTTTTTTTTTTAATTTATTTTTTTTTAAATGAAATTGCAGGAACAAGTGAAAATTGCAACAGTAGTAACAATTTTTTGTATAATTCATGAAAAATTAAAGGCAGCTTATTCAAGGGAGCGTAAAACTTCACTGTTCTGAGTTTTTCTGATCTGAACTACATTAACATAAGCACTAACCATCCACATTGAATCTAACTCACCTTGATTATTTCAGTACTTGCAATAGATGCAGCTGCAGCAGCCTCTGTCATAGTGATTTGTCGTGTCGGTTCACACGCTGCAGTCATTCTCAGGGTGTGTTTTGCGTTAGAAGAGTGTTTGGCAATCTATGTCTTTTGTGTTCCTCCACCAACGTTGCACGTGAAGCTAAACAGTTACTCCCTCTTTCATTCAGAACCTCAGGGAGTTGGCGTTAGCAGGTGGTGATACAAATATGCATAATGATGTGGATTGATGATCGTTGATTATGAATCAATACATTGACCCAAATCAATGGATCGTTAGATCCCTACCACTTATATTTACTTTGACTTACTAGTGTCAGCAGGCATAATTCAGTATTGATACTGTGTATGTTTTCAAACGCACCTGCCACTGCCTATGTTCAGAAGGACAGAGAGAAGTAAGAGGGAACCAGAGGAACTGAGACCCATTTAAGGCTTAAGTGGCTGTTGGCTTGGGCCTGTCAACATGAACCATAGTTTGCCTCACTGTGTACACCATGAAGTGGTCGTGACTCAGAATTTGGCTTTCAGTCAACTGTCAGCACTGAGTACTGTAGACTTTTGTCACACTCATCACAGGTGTCATTGATAACAATAAAAATGACTGCATTCCATTTAGGTGACCTAGTTCCAGGACACTTGATGCAACTAAGACAGAAATTAGATTTACCATGCGTTTCCTGCTATGACCAGTCAAAATGTCTGCAGTGAAAAAGGTCAGTACCAGGCCTAAGTTAAATTCTGCTCAGTTGAACTTGAGTTTCATGTCTTGTTGATGTATAGTCAAGTTAGATTCAGCAACAGTGCTCTTCTGTTATAAAAAGTCAGTGTGGTTTGCTTCACCTGGAGGTTGGTTTCATGCAGCCTTTTAAATGGATTTGATAGTATGGAGGTGTGTAAATGGACAGGAGTGATGAACCATTCAGCTGATCACCTCATAGTCTGTAGCAACCACAAAAGTATAACCTGTAAAGGAGCCCAGAGTCTTAACTGTCGTCTTGTTTGTGTGCAACATCAGATGAAAAGCCTGGAGATGCAACCAGGAGAGGAGCTAAGAAAGGTATAGTCTCACAGCCACGTGCATGATGCTGTGCTGTGTTGCAGTGTGGGCTAGACTAATGAATAAAGTGTCAACTACTCACAAGACATCTTAGGTCCATCTGAGTGCCCCCCTCCTACCCCCCAGGTTTATTCTATGAATGAGTTATTAACCCATCATGAAAGGGTCGAGGGTTTTGTTTTTGTTTTTTTGCAGTGATTTGCCCATTTTTGGCTTAATCATGTGCTTGATTAGTACACTACTCAGGTTTTACTGGAGTACCTTAATTTTGGTAAGTTTTTAACACCAGTAACACAATTGGTGTACATGTTGTGTAATGCTGTTTTACACCATTTTAAGCTTCCAGTTTGGTCCACTAAGTCTCCACACTGCTTGTAGGAGAAAATATGACTATGGCATGGAACCAATTTAAGGTTGTAATTCATCCTGACATTCACACGCCTGCCTGATGTGTGGTGATGTCCAGTAACAGATTGAATTTGGGCATGGTCTTCATCCTAAAAAACTTATTTTATGAGTGGTGAAACACCAAACAGTGTTGTTGCTCATCCATCCCAGAAACCTCTTCAACCAAGGATGCAGGCTGGAAGCTCCGGGAGGCTTTAAAGCAGCAGCTGGCCATCATCCATGAACGAGTGGAGGCCAAGAAAATCGCCAAGCTGGCTCTGGCAGAGGTCAGGCAGCTCCTGGCCAAAGAGGAGGAGGAGAAGGAGATGGAGCTAGGGAGGAAGGAAATAACGGCCAGAGTAAAGGAAAGAGTGGCCACCAGGCTGCAAGAGGAAGAGGTGAAGATAGAAAAAGAAGAGATGGAGAAGGCTCTGGAGAAACTAAGGAAGGAAAAAGCAAAACCACTGGATGAAAAAAAGGAAGAGGAGGGCAAGGAAGAGAGAGACGGGGAGAAGAAGTCAAAGAAAGGAGTGGAGAAAGAGGAGAAGTCAGAGAAAAAGGTGGAGGGAGAGGGAAAGGAAGCTTGGGAAGAAGACAAGGGGAGAGGGAAAGAGTCCGGCAGAGAAAACCGAAAGAGAAGCAGAGCTGATAAATCTGACAATAGAAGCAGGAAATAAAGTGAAATTATATGGCTTTATAGGAATATTTTGATCCCGTAGGAAGCTAGTGTTAATCATTTCAACTTAAGGGATGATGTAGGTACTGACCAAAACCTGTCTGGTGTACCAAGTATAGAAACCTCCAAGATGCTGAACGCTGGAACCAAACGTTGAGTCAGATACATCATTTTATTATTTATTCTACTTACTTTTTTCCTTGATGATTTAGATCAATATTTTGCCAATTATAAACAGCTTTTACTTGTGCTTAGACACCATGCAACACAACACAATAGGAGTTTGGCTTCTTTTGTCAAATGAAGTTAAAAAGACATTTTTAGAAAAGATTTTACTTTTTAGAGTTATGCATTAAAAGTGTCATTTTGGTCTTAATACTAAAACTTAGTGTTTCATCAGCAGTAT